GGCGTGCTTGCCTTGTGCATCTTCTTGGCGCAGCTCAGACCACTTGTTGTTGCCTTGGCCGCCACAGCCCGCTTGGTTCGCTCATCGCTGCTCTTTCCTGCACGGGTCGCCTTGGCCTTCGACGTGTGTCCCATGGTGTGGTGTTAGACTTGGTTTGTGTGGTCAACTAGACTGATTTGTTCTACGTTTGCCGGCGTGTAGCGCAAAGATGAATATTCAAATAAATGAATTATAATCAACTTCGGTTTGGTACATACCAGACACACGATCCAGAGGCATCTGGAGTAGTTCTTGTTCCGTCCTTCTTCTTTGTTTTTGTCTCACCCAAATGGCCACTGGAGCTTGATTGACGATGTTTGGTTTGATTTTGTAGACAATTCGATCTTTTTTGTTTGCGTTTGTCTTCGTTTCGATGAGCCATCGAAGGAAGTACTGTGCTGAATGCGATGCGTTCTATACAACAATGCCCGATCTACATGAGCAAACAGAAGATCACAAAAAATGTGCCATTATCACTCGTTAGCACTCGCGCCATTGCTGACGAATGGGTGTTTATGAGGTCACTATCAGAAACTCCTACGGACGCTAAACACCACTCTCCTCACTCTCACACACTCTCCTTTCTCCTCCTAACTCCGTGGTTCCCGCTCCTAGGAACCACCGTGGGTCGCTCGAGAGGCGTCCCAGAGAGCTGGCTAGCGGCGTCGCACACCGCAACACTCCTGCGCAGGAGAGCCAGCGGGCGGGCGGGCGGGAACCTCTCGCCACGCGAGAGAAGAAAAAACTTGCTGGCTCACCAGCCAGCCTCCCCCTATAACGCCGCCCGTGACACCGTGGTCCGGTCGCACCACCGAGCGGCCACTTCTCCTCGAGAAGCCGGCGTCACGCCGGGCGAGTGCTAACCACTCGTGATAAAGCACGTTTCTGTTTACACAGAAACTACACATTTCTGAACGGTATTCTTGTCCCCCATTTTCAATTAGTGCCAATCATTGAGTTGATTTGACATTCTTATTAGAGGACAAGAGGAAGCAAGAGGCCAAACGACATCAGCACCACGTCGAACTCAATGTTGAAGACGAGATGGGACCTGAAGTTGAAACTGGATTGGAATTGGAATTGGAAGGATCTGACAGCGAATTGGAAGATGAAGAAGATGTAGGCGATGTGATGGGCGAGCCCCCCAACCGCGACCTCCTCGAAGCGTACCTCCTCGAAGCCGGTGGTGTGGAAGAGGGTCAGGACGGAGATGAGGATTCCGATGAGGACGATGTGGATGACCCAGAGCCCTTGGCCGCAAAGGAAGAGTTTGGATGGAGCTCCGCCTTGGGCTTCTTCAGCCGCAGCCCACAGGCGCAATTCCCTACCTTCACTTCAAGTTCCCCAAAGCCCGGTACTACATCCCGTTCGGCCCGTGGTGCGGGTGGACTGTGGCGAAGCGCATCCGTCTCGTGGACGACTCCGCACGCCTGGGCACCTGCAGCTACAACCACCGCGCCAAGTGGCGCATCATCGACAAGTGGTCCACCAAGCTTGGCTGCGGTGAAAGCGACGACAATGGCGAGGCCTCTGCCCTGCGCCATCTGGAGCTCGAGGAGGAGTGCTTCGCCGAGCTAGAGTCCGCCAGCGACTTGTGAGCTGCGGGCTCCGGCCTGCCGCCCCGTCCGCTGGCCGCCAGCCAAGTTTGAGGGTGCGCATTGCAGTGACCGCATCCCGTGCTGATGCGCTGTGTGTGTGTGTGTGTGGTTCTTTTGTACTCAGGCGCGGCTCCGGTGTCGGCGCCCACAAGCACCGCTCCGGCCTCCGCTGCTGGAGATGTACGCCTCTCCTGTCGTGTCGTGTCGTGTCGTGTCGTGTCGTGTCGTGTGCTCATTTCTCTCTTGTCTTTCCATCGACGCAGCATCGACGCATTCTGAGCGTGTTCTTCAAGGACGGCACCTACCGCAGCTATGTCCTCACCGCGTACGTCATCCGCTCGGCTTCAACGGCAACGACTTCTACTACTGACCCGCGTTTTGTGTGCGTGTGCGTGTCGTGTGCGTGCGGGCGCCTCCACTTCGTCGACGGCGCAGGACGTGTGCGATCCAACAGAGTTCGAGTTCGTGCGCGACCTGGCCACCCGATGTGGCTACGCCTGCAGGTACCACCCCAACACTACACCCTCAGTAAGCTTGTTTTCTAACACACGCTCGTGCAACCAGACCAAGGCAGGCTACCTGTCCACCTTCCCGTTCGAGACGGCCTTCAATCAGGCCAGCCCTCGATCTACTCCCCGGCCGACCCTGGACAAGGTCTCCTCTAAGCACGCCCACGAGTTCGCCAAGGTCGCATTGGCAAGAGCGCGGACATGAGGCGGGAAAAAGGCATGCTATGTATGGACTAAATCCGCCTCTTCACCACTTCCGTCTCCTTTCCGCCAGTCAGGGTTTCTCTGCCTCGTTTCCGCCTTGGGGTTGGCCAAAAGGCGGAAAAATCTGGCTTTATTTGCTGGCAGTGAATGTAGTCAAACAAAAACATGCTCTTGTTGCGTATCATTTTGCGTAGTGCACTATGAACCGCATCATACTCGATGTGGTATGAAACATTGTGCATAGTGTTGCCGCCGTTGCCGTCATGTCTAATAGTCTTTACAACAATGACGTTGCTGTAGGCTTTGTCCATCTTGCTCATGATGGCGACAAACAGGTCATCATCGCTAATCTCGTTGCGCTTGTTGTCAAAATGTGTGGTCTTCATGACTTGCGCTCAGCGTAAACTAGAAAGCTGCAACATGTTACTCGATGCTGCCTCTTGTCTGTAGCGTCACTGCACAACAAAAGCAACAGCGTCCAACAGTTAACAGAACGGGCCTATTCATGCGCGTATATATTTCTGTAGTCGGCTTAGCCTGTAGAACAAGCACACCAACCACCAAAAAGGTCGCCAAAACGCCATTTGGCTGTTTCGACGATTGCAAAACAGAAATAGGCACAGAAAAAAAGGCATGGTTCTCGATTGCTAGCACCTTGCAAAATACGACTCAAATAGCAACACCAACAACACCAACAATAAAAGTCACAACTGCCAAATGGCGTTTATTTGCACCAGCGCATTCAGGCTTGCACATTCGACAGCGCAGATAATAGGCCACTCTTGATAAAGAGCCCCTCGAGCTATGCTGGATACCAGTGGACACCTCGGTCTTGCGCATCACATTAAGAGGAGAGGAAAAAGAGGCGTTGAGTGTGACTAGATGATTTGGCCGACAGCCCGTTGCATTACGACGCCAACAATATCGCCGAGCTTGGAAAGCCAGCTGCGCTTCTTGCGCTTCTTGCGCTCCTGCTCGAGATCGTGGCGGGCCCGCTGCGCCTCCTGTCGAAGGGTCTCCACGTACTGCACCATTTCTGCGTGGCGACGCTGGCCTTCCGCGATTTGACCGTTGGCCTCTCCGATCTGCCGACCAAAATCTTCGACCTGCTGTTTGGCCTCGGCGATCTTTTGTTCCATCGACGTTATGACGCCCTCGAGCTGGACCACCCGGTCGCGAGCGAGCTCGATCTCCTTGATCTTCTCGTGGCGGTAGGGAATGGCCAGATCCATCGCCTGCAGGAGCCTGTTTCGCATCGCGGCCGCCTTGTTACTCTTGAAGTCAAACGGCCGGGAGCCGGAGGCCAGCTCGGGATCGTGATCGATGAAGACGTGATTGAAGGGCTTGTTCGCCGGCCAGTCGATCAGGCGCATGGCCATACCCACGATCTCGTCGTCGTAGGCCTGCGTGCGGTCGCTACGTACCGGCATCAGATTGAAGACGAAGACCACCGAGGTCGTCTGGAAATTGTAAGCGTTGCGCAGGGCTTCGTAGGCTGCAAAATCGGACGCCTCGAGCCTGCCGCCGCGGCCGGGCGCAAACACGTACATGATGATGTGCTCGCCTGGCTGGGCGAACGCCTGGCCGATGGCCTGCTTGTTCGCGGCCATCCGCGCCGGGTCGTGCTCGATCAGGCCCGGCACGTTGTGCACGTGCACCACCTGCGGGGTCTCGCCGCTGTCGCCCGAGAGCACGGCCGTACGGAACTCGGCATTTTTCGTGCAGGCGCCGACCTGCCAGGCGTGATTGAAGGCGTTTTCTTGGAGGAAGATGTTGCACAGGAAGGACTTGCCAACGCCGGGGTTCCCCACGACCACCAGCGAGATGTCGGGAGAGACGGTGGCGGTGGCGATGGTGATGTCGCAGAGCACGACGAGCAACAGCACCAGACCCTGCAACTCGTCTCTGCGGATGAGCACCGTCCTCGTCGCGGAGCAATGCCCGTCTCTCGCCGGGCTGCGTCTGGCTCCCCAGAAGGTGGGCCATTTCCATCCCACCTTTCGAGCGATAGCGACGCCCAAAGGAGTCGAAGGAGGCGGAAGGACCGACGTTGATGTCCGAACGGCGGGCTTGTTCGTGTCGACGTCACCGTCGAGGTGGCAGACGCTGCCCATCGCGGGGCGGGCGTTGACGCGAGAACCGCTCATTCCGAGAAAGAGCTTTTGGGCTTGAGAAAATGTTAGGGGAGCAGAGGGGGGGTTGAGAAGTCGGTAGGTCCCCTGACGTCTTTGCGAGTGCGCGATGGCGAGGCCGATGTGTTGGCTGGTGGGGGTGGAGGTTTTGTTCCAACCCCGCCGTTTTTATAGGTAGCTCAGCTGTGTCGACTCTGTCCCGGCCACCACGCCATTGGGTGGGACATGTCCCCACAACGCGACAGCCAATGGGTGGGCTTGTCCAAAAAAAGAAAAAACTTTTCGACTTGGTTCCTCAGCCGCCTGATTGGTTGGGACAGTTGAGGGACAATGTTCGGCCAACGAGGCATTTTCGCGGACATACGCCAACCACGGACGCTTTTTTCTTTCTTTTTTTGATTGGGCGGACGCGTTCCTCCCCCCGAAAAAAGGCACAATAAAACGCGTCGTTGTTTGTCGTCCGTTTTTTGCTGTACCCACTCACCCACATCCGACCATACCGGTCAGTCGCTCACTACTTGGCGGCATGACGTTGACAACGCGCGCATTGTGTTCCTACGACGGTGCTGCCCGTCTGCTTCTTCTAGTCAGCGCCGCCTATCTCCTGATGACATTGTTGTCGGTGGCGGTACTTGACGCGGACGGAGCCGCGGGACCGAACGCACCTGTAACTCCCGATCAGCCCTGCGTGGACATGATCATCACCAGTGGTCCGGGCAGAGGCAAGTCCACGGTAGGCAACATCGCCGCTGGCCGAGCGGTGTTTGCGACGGCGTTTCAGCCCACCCACGTGACCACCGAGAACGCCTGGGCCGTGTCGCAGTCGGTGCGCTTCCCCGGCGAGGCACCCCTCGCCTTGGTGGTGCACGACACGCCCGGCCTGGACCAGGACGCACACTACCCCCGTCACCGCGCCCAACTTCAGCGGGCCTTTGAAGGCCCGTGTCGCCAGCGCCAGATCGTCGCCTTCGTGCTGGCCGTCGCAGCGAGCGGCCGCATCAGCGCCAACGACGTACGGCAGCTGGAGGCCATCGTGCGGGCCTATGACCTGCGGCCCGAGAGCGTCATCCTCGTGTTCAACATGATGCCCGCGCTGGCGCCGGCAGCTGCGGAAGCTTACATGGTGGAAGCCGTCGCCGCGATGCCGCCCTTGCTTCGGCCGTACGCGGCCAATCGTCTGGCCGTGCCGTACCTGGAGAGGCTGGCCAACGACAACCTCGAGCAGCGCCAGGCGTTCGTCGCTTCGGGCTCTGGCGAGGCGCAACGCGTACGGGATAGCCTCGCCGAAGCGCTGTCGAGAGCCTCGCCCGGATCGTACGTGCTGGTACGGCCAGAGGCCCTCTTGTCGGCCGCCGAGACGTCCGAGAAGCTACACCAGGAAAAGTTGCGACTTGAACGAGAGCGTCAGCGCCTCGAAGCCGAGAGGAGAGCCCAGGAGCTCCGGTTGGAGCAGGCGAGGCGGCAAGAAGAACTACAGCGCCAAGAGAATGAGCGTCTCGCGCTGCAGCGCGAGCGCGCCGAAGCCGAGAGGAGAATCCAGGAGGCCCAACTGCAGCAGGCGAGAGAGCAGGAGGAGCACCGTCGATCCGTGCTCAGTTCGGTGGCGCGCGAGGGAAAAAGATTCCTCAAGAGGATCCGTCTTCGCTGATCGCCACCAAAGAAAGGGAAACAAGGAGAGTAAGAAGAATTATTCGGTTTTCTTTCAAAGAAGGCCAAGATGCGCAACTCGCCAATCGGTGCGCAAAAAGTGAAGAACCACGGACATTAATTGATTGCCATGGCAGTCGCTATTGTCTTGGTGGTTCGCGCCACGCGCACGGTGGTCTGGGGCGAGCTCACGACCGATGAAATGAGGCTAACCCTCAATGAGGCCACGGAGGTCCATCATGACCCGCCCCTGCTGGGCCGCTTCCTTTGTCTCAAGCCAGTGGCGTACCCCCTACCCCAGTCTTCACCTGAAGCCCATGTGGCCATCCTACGGGATCAGTGAAGAGAATGAAATATCATTTCTGGTCTTGACGCCTCTCGGTGGCGTTTGCCCGCACACAACTGCACGGGCCCAAGCGACAATGAGTAGTGACCATTATGCCTTGGTGCTCATTACGGACGGCCTCTCTGACTTTGTGTCTGACCTTCGTTTGGCCGAGTTGGTGCGTGCTGGAGCCAACACCAACACTCCCCAAATGATTGCCGACGCTATGGTGTGCGAGGCCAAGCTCTGTCGAAGCTCGGACAACATGAGCGCCATGGTCATTTTCAACCCAACGAGCCATTGCTGAACCGTTTTGCGGTTTTTTGAGGGACCTGCTCTTTCTCGGCCCATGCTCGTCCGCGACCACAACAGCGAAGACCTGTAACTTTTTCTTAGCCCTGTACAACGACACAACGCACCAGCAGCCGAGAGGCAGTCGGCCAAATGTTGCAACAAGTTGCGCCAGGATCAAACACGCCCGGTTTGCCTGCTCTCTTTCATATGCCGCCAGAGATCATGGCGCACCTCATGTCGTTCCTCGACAATGCCTCATTCTGCCGCGCTCGCGCTGTGGCCGAGTGCTTTTGCGAAGAAGGTCAACAGGAAGTATTCATCATCGTTGTAGCCCAAAATTTCATGAAAGAGATCCTCACAAAGGCAGCACTCTGTGCTTATCGCTGTCGGCAATGAGCAAAGTAGGCAGGCAAGCATCTCGCGGTGGCCTTGTCTGGCTGCTTCGTTTGCAGCAATAGTAATAATTCGCCCGATGATTGCCCAAAAGACGCACCATTTCAAGACGACCATATTGAGCAGCTGCGGTTATGCCATAGCCGGTGCTGCCTTCGCTACGGTGCTTGAGTAGAAAGCGCACTATCTCCGGTGCAGTACATTGAGGCCCTCGCCGATCTGGCCAAGAGCGACAACACCAAGATCCTGCTCTACTCCCAGGACGCCTCCCACACTGTACAAGACGTGACCAAACAGTTTGGCTCACTCTTTGTTGAAATGGTCATCTCCATGCAGTAAGTGGAGTGTATCAGGGTGGGGTGTATGTCATATTAGGAGAACACCAGTGCTGTTAATCCATCCCCATCCACCAGGTGATAGAATTCCTTGATGACTTTCTCAATTGACGCCACATTTCCATTACCATTCTTACAATCACAGGGCTCATCAGTATTCTTCTGCTGGCAGTGCTTGTTCTTGTGACCCATGAGTTGGATAGTAATGTGTTCCAGCGGGACTGAGGTGCTGCCCACAACTGCCAACTCTGGATGTGTCCAGAGGCCTGTCCATGCATTTGGGTTGGGTTTGGACCCCTGTTTGGGCTCGTTATAACATATAGCCGTGGGCCAGGGAAAGGGTCTGTTGGATCTATAATCAATTGGCTCCAGAGGAGTTTCAACAACCCCCTGCTGAGGTCATCATGCACAAGCTTCCAGCCAGGCTGGGTGTCTGGAGCCACAAGGATGGTGTTTGATTCCTTGTATTGGTACTGGCGTGTGCTGAGCTTGTAAAGTGTGACCCCAGGCTTGAGGAGGCACCAAAGCAGGAAAGCTGTATTGGTTGGCTGTTGACAATCTTGCTTGAAGAGTGAGAGTCTCTGTATTCAGTGATGTTGGGGAACTGCTCCTTTGAGTTGAGATTGATTCCAAACCAGGCCAGCTTGGTGAAGGTGTACTGCTCCCTCCTTGGTCTTCCCTTGATGGTGATGAATCCATGCTCCAACTGGGTGGTGAGCATGTGTAACAGGTTGTTGATGGTGGTGCCATGAACCACTGAGGTGTCAGGCGGCAGTTCAATGTTGCAGCGCCACTCGCCTCTATCACTACATTTCTCCTTGAAAGGGCAGGCTACACGAATGGACAACTTTTCATTGTGGATCCACACGATGAGGTTGGTGGGCTGTAGCCACTCAGTCAAGGCCTGTGTGAGGTCATTTCTCACTTCCTCAGGAATGCCTTTCTGTTTGTTGTCATACAGTAACTTGTAGGCACGCCTAACAACACTGATAATCTCCCTTCCTTCTTGATTGCTGGCACTGTAGCGGCCTTCCTTGAGTTCAGTGGTAAGATCTTTCATCCAGCGCTGGGGCGTCACTGTCCTTACTTTGCACAATTCATCCAGAGGACCAGGCTCCTGCGTACTGCATCTAGCAGCTGTTGGAGTGGAGATTCCAAGCAGATCAAAGCGATCAAAAGGCAAAGAGAAAGAGACCAACGATACTATGGCTCTTGACGACACAGCCTCTGTCCCTCCACCCAGCACCCCATCATCAACTTCTTTGTCCTCAACACCAGCTCCGACTCTGCACATCTCACCACCCTCTACTCCAGCAGTTCCTCATGTCCCACCTTACTTCTCATCCTCTCCACCAACACCATCACTTCCTCGCCCTGCACCTTCCTGAGTCTTCTGCACTGCTGCAGGGTGCGCGAAGCACTACTCAACACAAAGCAACATGCATGCCCATTACCGTAAGGTACATGCAACTTTTTCACCTGCACCTTCTCCATCCCCGTCCTCCTCCTCCTCTTCCTCCTCCTTGCCACAGCTTCCATCTACTTCATCAGCCTCTAGACCTGCACCCACTCTCAAGCGACAGACCAGCTTCGATCTTGCCGCGTTCCTTGCTTCTCTCCCACCCAACACATCCTCCACCTCTCCTCCTCCTCAGCCTGCAGCTCCACTCAACAGCTTCGAGCGACGCCTCAGGCAACAAGAGGCACTTCTTCAACTAACTCCTGACGAAGAAGAAATGGAGAAAGCCACGCAAGAGCACGCCGCACACATCAGAACGAAGATCCTCACCCTCCGCCACCAACTCGACAAACTCGATCTTCATCAAGGAGCTGCCACGCCGTCGACCACCGCCGACAAGTACCAGCTTGAGCTTCGCGTAGAGGCTCTCGAACGCCAGCTTCGCCGGGTGCTGGAGGGACTCTGACGTGGCACCGCGTCAGCACAGCCAGGAAATACACATGCTTCAAATTTTTATTCTGTGCGCAATAAACCCCCACATTTTTCAAATCGTGATGTGACGCCACCCCGCCCACGGTTCTCCCATTTTTTCAGCCGCCGAAGGCACTGCACCCTTAAGGCGAACGGGACACACGGTATGCTGCTAAATAGAGCGCACGCAGGATCTTCAGCTATGGGGTAACACAGTATTCGCTGTTGGTACCAAGGTTTTAGCTCGAGGGCGAACTTCACCTATCTGGTGAGCAGGCACTTGCCCCTTCTTGTCTGCCTCCTTCTTGCCCCCAAAAAAGTTGGTGAGACTGTCCTCAAAAGTTTGAGACAGCAAAAAGAACTTTGCGCGCCGTGGCCAACTTTTGCCGCCGTAGCAGCGCCGCACCATGCTCAACTTTTGCCGCCATGACCGCGTTTCTCTTTGTCTTTGCCTCTTTTATTTGCTGCAATAGGTTGGTGGCACTCACACACAATGTGTCACACAAGGGCCTGGCGAAATGCATGGGCGCGGCATCTTCTGCTACGAAGTGGGCGCACGGATACGAGGGCAATTTTATCAAAGGGAGCAAATGCGGAGTGCAAACCTGGACCACAGGAGCACAAATATAAAGGCGGCTTCATGGCCGACAAGATGTACGGTCGCGGTGTTTACAGATGGAGCCAGCAGCGAGCGCTACGAGGGCCACTTTGTCGTGCCGACGTTAAAAAGGGTCTCCTGTTGTGGGGTGGCGTTGCGCGCCAAGTTGTTTATGCGCACTTCGAGTCTATCGCAAGGGTTTGGTCACCCCAGGCTGGCGATTTCGGAGATTCCAACGTTCCGCAAGAGGAAATTCTTTTTCTCTACGGGTAGCCCTCTTTTCTTTTTGATCGCCCGCTCGATTGATCAATGGAAAGCCCTCGCTCGCCGAGGGGTAAGAAGAGTAAGCTGGCGCCGCCCGTGGCACAGGAACCAGAGGGGCCCTGCTCGATCATGGTGGAGGGCTATGTGGTTGAGATCACCCCCCAGCACTTTTCGTTGCCGCATCAACTCATCTTCAACGAATTTCGCAACGTTGCAGGACCGGCACTCCATAAGGTTCTTTCCTCCTTGAGGTTTTTGTTTTGTTTATTCTTATTGATGGAGTGGGGGGGGGTTGAGATAGAAGCTTGGAAGCGCAGACATTTATAAGCAGAAGCTACCATTGAACATTTCGATCCGTTTGTTTTCCGTGGTGCGGGCCCTGATCGTGGGCGGTGCAAAAGCTCGGCTAATCGACGACGAAGGCAAGTTGCACGATTTGTTGGGTGCGTGGGTGCGTCGTCAGTGGAATGACGGCTCTGTTGGTATAATTACCCTCCCCTTCATACTTACACCAAGCAAAACTAAGCCCGATAAGCTGAAGATCACATTCTCTTGTACCCTCTTCAATGAGTCTGGGCAGTTGCAGTACCCTCTTGAATACAAGTAACTCACGCCCAATTGCTGGCCAAATAACACGTTCTTCTTAACCTGCCCCTGCTTGTCTTGGTAGGCCCCCTCACAACTCTGTGTGCAGGAAGATGATCAATTGACATTGGCATCGAGAAGTGCGTGGTGTGGGCATACTCTTTAAGGTACAGAACGCCCCATCATTGACTGCTCTACCTTGCATGTGATCGCCACAAACACACACCTGCGCGCACAGTTTGTAAGGACCTGAGGCTGAGCAAGAAGCCGCCAATCTAGCTCTATGGCAGGGAAGCCACAGCCAAGACCTGTTCGACCGCAGAGGGCGCTCCACTCAATTTCCGCTTGCGCCAAGCGATGGTACGCCTTCAGCTTCTCTCTCTCTCTCTTTCCATTGGTTTGGTCCATGGAGCGTAACAACTGACGGTTGGTTGTCTCCGCGCCTGCGTGGCCTGTGCTGGTGCATAACATCGAGGCCCAGCGGACGGGCATCACCCTGCGTACGTACACCCTCAGCTCGCCGTTCCCTTGGGCTCATACTTATGTGCGCGCGTTGCCGTGCCGCGTGTGTCATGTCGTTGGTTGTGTCGTGTCGTGTTGCTGGTCGTGTCGTGTCGTTGGTCATGTGGTGTCGTTGGTCGTGTCGTTGGTCGTGTCGTTGGTCGTGTCGTTGGTCGTGTCGTGTCGTGTCATGTCGTGTCGTGTCGTGTCATGTCGCTGGTCGTGTCGCTGGTCGTGTTGTTGGTCGTGTCGTTGGTCGTGCCGTGCCATGCTGTGTCTAACAATGGCGCGCAGACCCGTTCTGTGGGGTGGGCACCCTGCCCATCCACGCCGCGGCGATTGAGCCGGGGGCGATCGTCATAGGCGTGGATTGTGCAAAGTCAGAAGTGAACAAGACAGTCAACAACCTGCAGCTCTACAATGTACACGTCTTGCTTACATTTCCGCTCAATTGAGCACACGCACACACGCATACTCAATGCTTGCCACGCGTGCGTGCGACAGGAGCGAGTTGCCCCGCGGTGTCCCTGGGTCGACATTGTGCAATGGGACGTGCAGCGATTGCCGGCAACGGATCGTTCGTTGACGTGGTCATCTCCGATCTCCCCTTTGGCATTCGCTCCGGCTCCACCAAAGTACACTCTCTCGTCGCTCGCTCATGCGTTGCGTGCACTCTCTGACTTTGATTTCACTGATAAGGTTCACCTTTCCTGCACATACGCACTGCACACTCACGCAACACAACACAGACAGATGCAGCGGCACTGTCAGAGGCAGCTCAACCCTGGCCGGCAACAACAGTGTTTGAAGGTGTGGCTTCATTGCGCATGTTATATGTGTGTGGATGACACTACAAAGTCGTGGATAGCTGGATGTGCTGCCAGGTTCAGTTCAGCCCACCCTCTCTTCTTGCCGCGTGAGACAGAGGAGATCAGTTGCCGGTGCTGATGGTGTTCGGTGCGCATTTGGGCGTTGAGCTGCTGGCGTGCTGCTTCAACTGGCCCTGCTGAGAAGCCACTGGTCCCTCCATGCATCTGTATCTTATTGGTACGGTGTTTACACTCGAGTGCATAGTTAGCAAACTTTTCTACGCCGTGGTAGTGTTCTAAAAAATAACCTAAGTGATAAACGAAAATGTGGATGTAGGGCGTGGTGTTGCGTGCTTCGTAGGTCTGCGTGAAGAGCTTGCCGAAGCCCCGTGCCTGTAGTAGCCATTCCTTCTCCGTGATTTGGACGCGTGCTTGGCAGGCAAGTGTTGCAAGCTCGTAGAAGGTTCTCCACACTGCTCCTGCTTGTTCAGCTTTCGCACGCGTAGCGTTGTTTCTGACAAGGATGTTAGTCTCTCCACACAGCTTGCCCGCTTGCCCTTTGCAAAAGGTATGATTTCTCTTTGCGTACCCAGCATGATCCTTCATGGCGTTGATGAAGTCTTGGTGGTGTTGCAGGATCGCTAACCACTCTGGTCGGCCCCATCGGGAGTCTTGGACACGATCAGCAAATGTCTTCTCGAGGTTGGAGCAGAACTTGATCTTTCGGTCGCGGATTATTCGTTCCCAGGCCTCCGCGACCTCCGTTGAAAGGTAGGCGTCGCGCAGTAGAAGCTTGAAGAGTTGTCTAACGATGGCCATGAGGCAGTGCAGGAAGCACGGAATGATGCAGGTTCGTGGGAAGGGAAGGATTCGAGGTGCATGGACACCATGGTGCATTGATGCGTGCTTCTTCTTGCCTGTCGCTGATGTCGGTAGATTTCGCTCATCTTCAGCTACCTCTTCCTCAGTCCGCATCGGCCAGGACTCTTTCTCGAAGTTGTGGATGTTGTTGCAGCATACGTTGCAGTACGGACACTTCCAGAACGATGCAGGACGGTACGTCTCGTATAGCCCTAACACGCGCACCAATGTCTATGTTGTGTTGGTTGGTTGGTCATGTTGTGAGTGTGCTTTGTGAAGAACTGTGCTAACCTTGAGGTCACATGTGAGAACAGGCAGCACAGGCACAACGTCTCCGTTCGACAAGACCACTTGTTTCTCCTCCAGCAGGTGACGCACCACCTCGATCGTGTTTGCCAGCTCCTCCCTGATCATGATGTTGGTGTTAGAGTTATGTTTGTGGTCCAGGAAAACAGAAAACATACCAGAGAATCTCCTCCGTTTCAGCGCCGATGTAGATGATCCACATGTGGGCCTCACGAGGTGACTTCACATCAGCCAGCTTCTCGCCCTCGTAAAGGTACTGAAAAGCACCCACCTCTTCTTGCACAAAGCTGCCTGACGTCATGGTTGCCCCGTCTAACGCGAACTTGACGTGGATCGGATTTGTGCCCCCTTGTAGCCTTGCGCGGTCTTGTTCAAGCACTTGCCTCATGTATGCCAGCAACGGCAGCTCGGCACCTCGTCCTCCTGCTGTGGTGCGCACCGAACATCCTTCCCGCTCGATTGTTGCACGCAACCTGTATTTTATGAGCTTACTGATTACCCTTAAATCTTTAAGTGTGGGATACCTTCGGATCGCAGACAGGGACGCATGGGGCACGTTGAACGTATCTGCTACTTCCTCCCATCGGCTGTTGGGGATCAGCAGTGAGTCCTTGAGTGCGAGCAAGCGTGCTAACGTGGGTGGGGGGAGAGTGATGTGCTGGCGTAGGTCAGGCTCTTCTTCTACCAATGCAGCAAGCACCTCCCCCAGTGGCTTTTCTGTGACCGCTGCGATCGCACACTGGACTCTGGCGTTCTCATCCTCAGCTACAGGTCGTATGTGGTGTTCTCGCTTTTGGTCTTCCTCAAGCTTCGCCAAGTTCTGACTGAGCCGCTGCTCGACTTCTCTGTTTTCCTCTTCTCGCTGGCAGATGACTGTCGCCCGCATTCTGGCTTCCTCATCCTTCCTCCTCTTGGTTGTTTCCTGCCGCGCACTTCGTAGGTGGTCTTCCTTACACCCGTGGCAAGTTGGGGTACCTATCACAGCACAATTTTCCCATTAAAACGTATGTAGCAACATGATGGACTTACGTACATTGCATGTGTGGTGAGGCTTCATGCTTGCCCCGATCCCAGGTGTACACGTACTGTCGGAGGCATCCATCATGCCGACATCGGTGGCCATTGGCTGGTGCATGTGTGGTACGCTCTGCCCACTTGCCCGCCTTGACAAGGTCCTCGCATGCACAGCAGATTGCAGGATAGCAGTAATGCAGCGTAGCCTTTTGTACATGGCTGCGGAGAGAAGCCTTGGCAGCAAAAGGGTTGCGGTGCTTCCCTTGTGCGCTGCGACACAAGGTATGTGGACACGTCAACCCCTCTCCCGGTCTAACACAAAAAAGACTTCATCAGTCATGGCTTCTTGTGCGTGTGTACAGGGGCAAGGAGTACAAGTGTAAGCTTAGCGAGCAGCATGTCTTGGGCATGTCCATCCTGGTCCGGCAAGTACATACAGTGTTTGGCTCGAATTTGTGTGCTGGTTGTGCACAGAATAAATAATTTTTTCTTTGAACTCTTTCAAAGTCGACAGAATCGGGATCCTGGCCACCTTAAAGGGTACCTGCGGGAAGCCATTTTGCTGACGTGGCTTGCTAGAAAAAGGAAAGTCGACAGAATCGGGATCCTGGGTCGGAGATTAAACTCGAAGTGCAAATTAATCTCCACCATATCCATGGGGTGGTGTGCTGCCAAATGAATCCTCATCAGTATGTGGTGTTGGTGGTCACATGACTGCAGCCTCACAGAACCTGTTCTGGGAAAGATATTGGTGGTGAGAGTTGTTAAGTGAGCAAGTTTAGGAGAACCACACATGTGTTGTTTTTTTTTACATTTATAGACAACCACAACAACACTAGAATCAATAAGTTATAACTTTGACACAACAGCAAGCATGCTTGACCCCAGGGAGCCAGGAGAACCTATCCCCACCAACATCACTCTAATAAGTGAGGAATCAGCTCTTGAGAACTTTGACAGGCTCTACCTCCAACAGTTCTACACCAGCAACACCCCACCAGCCTACTGCAGAACTAGTGAGGAGGAGGAAAAGAAATGGGGAGATGCCTGCCACTTCGACCTGTCCTGCTCAACAAGAAACGGAGGCTACACTATCCACACCCTGGCTGTTCGTACGCATTCCTAGGACCATTTTTGCTTCTTCCCAGCAATCTCCGTCTTTCCTTTTACCACAAACATGCAACGGCCCAGCCAACTGCGAAATGAATCCTCACCCATGATGATGGTGGGGGGGGGTGCTTGTGTTGCGTGTCGTGCGGTGCCATCACACAGCGGGCCTTGCGCGGCCAAAGGTTGTGCTTGGGCACCTCCTTGTGGCCAAGGCTGTTGGGGTGCCGGACATCCCACAGTTCTTCGGCTATGGTCATGGCCAGTCATCACACCTGTGTGAATGTTTCTGGCGCCTGATAGGAGGCACGGGCAACAAAATCCACTCACGGTGCGTGAACCCATGGCACATCAAGTTCGAGCTGAGCACGCTGAACCAACTACGGTCGACGTGCACCAAACTCTCGAAAAAGTACGACGCTTGTGGGTGTGGTGCGGCGCCAGCATGCCTCCACTTCCGCCACGAGCTCTATGACGAGCAGATGCGGGTGGTGGAGGAGCTGTTCACGCGCCAGCCAAAGCTCAAGGTGCGCTTGCCATCGTATGAGGAGTTCGAGGCCGAGAAAAACGCGTGGTGGCCTGTGCTTGGCGACGAATAATAAAGCCCTATTAAACTCAACTCGCGGAAATTACTTCTCCTCCATGTACCTACCGCCGGCAAGCAGGGGATACGTTAAACTCGAAAGTATATTAAACTAGAAAGTGCTCGTCATGGTTGCCTCGGCTGTGCTTTTTTTTTTGATCAAACGTACAAAAGCGGTGTGGTGGTAGCGTTTCGATACGCTGCAGGCGCTTAAATAACCAACCGAGCAGCGCTTCAAAGGTGTCTTGCCGCGGCTTCCCAAAGGCCACACACCCAGAGATGGAGGTCAGACGCGGGAAGCGCACTGCACCAGCAGTATTGGAGTTTTTAGACAGACACTATTGCCACAGCGCACAGAGCTACCACTATGCCGACGACACCAACAAGAGATAGAGCAAACAACATAGTTGGTGCCAAGTTGTTTTAGCAGGCGGGGTGTGGTCAATGCAATGCAAACAGATGCGCTCCATCACCGTTGCGCGGATGATCAGCCAAGAGAGCGTCTTGGAAATGAGCCAGCGAGGTTATGAGACATGGGCTGCCACGGTGTGGGCCAGTACCAACAACAAGACACTTTGCCATACCGCAAACAAACACATTGCACAGCGCCAGGCAATGTGGAAATTGCCTTGTATCAAGTTGCGTAAATAAGAGCATGAGGCTTGCAAGAGTGCTTTGGGTATGCGTTCAACACACTGACCGTGCAAACCATCCTTGCACCATAAGACCACATTGCAAAGTTCCATCTCGGACAGCGCCGCCAACTTGGCAGAGAGACTGATGTTGCCATAGCAAGGTGTCCCGTGTGGATTTTAACTTTGTGCTTTATGGCATTTGTTGTTTGGGCTGTCCCTGACTACACAACCGATAACTACAATTGGGTTGCAAAAAAAAAAAAACGCTCGGCCAATCACAGAACGACAGAGAGCTGCAAAACACGCCTGAGAGGCTTTATAGCGCCATTGGTGGCCGTTTGCAGCTGCCGTGTCCATGATATTGTCTGTACTTTCATCATCGTTGTAGCCCAAAATTTCATGAAAGAGATCCTCACACAGGCAGCACTCTGTGCTTATCGCTGTCGGCAATGAGCAAAGTAGGCAGGCAAGCATCTCGCGGTGGCCTTGTCTGGCTGCTTCGTTTGCAGCAATAGTAATAATTCGCCCGATGATTGCTTCAGGAGTGCAATCGCAACGTTCGACGGTCCTGCCACTTCTGATGGCGTGTAATTTTCATCGTAACAGCAGGCGGTAAAACCCAAGGCAAGAGCACCTGGTAGCATAAAAAGCGCACGACACGTAGATTGCCGACTATGACGGCGCATTGCAATACGTGCATGATAAAGGTATGTCCAAGTTGCAAAGCGTTGCCACAATTTTGCACCGAATGCGAAAGGAGCGGCGGTTGGCGCAAGGTTCATCAAGCATTCGCTCGTGGAATAGATCACTGCACAGACGCGGCGACTTGACAAAAGTAGGGAATGCGCGCTTGGCCAATACTTCCTGTTGACCTTCTGCGCAAAAGCACTCGGCCACAGCGCGAGCGCGGCAGAATGAGGCATTGTCGAGGAACGACATGAGGTGCGCCATGATCTCTGGCGGCATATGAAAGAGAGCAGGCAAACCGGGCGTGTTTGATCCTGGCGCAACTTGTTGCAACATTTGGCCGACTGCCACTCGGCTGCCTCTGGCCACTTGACCTTTGGCGCCTCGACGCCGACGCCGATGTCAATTTGGTGAAGGACCTCGATGCCATCCGAGTAGGAGGTACAGTGGTGGTGGTGGGCAGCCGTGGAGAGGTCGATAAGTTGGCACCAGGGTATGTTCCCCATCCCCATGGTATCTCTACTTGATTGACTAATTGGAACCCTCCTTGAACAACAGGCTTCTTATGATGAAGGACGCCACCGTTATCGGTTTTGCTTTGCACCGTTCTACTCCAGATGAAGTAGCTGAGCAGCGCGCCTTTATCGGAGCGGGTTTGACCAACGGTTCTCTTAGGGTTAATTGTTATATTTATTTTCATTTTTAACAATAAACACAAATGCCAGGCAAATGGCTGCCGTGGCCGGAGGAAAGCACTAAGTACAAAAGAAAGGGGGGGAAGGGGAAGGAAAAGGAGAGGGAAAAAGGACGGCCCCCCCAAGGGACGAGGCTGAACCCGGGTGAGAGGGGAAGAGAACACCAGGAGGAGAGGAAGGGACCAAACAGAGGGCGCATGGTGGTGGTGGTGGTGGTGGTGGTGGTGGAGGTATGTGGGTTTAGTGAGCAAAAACTCTGTGCCAAAGTTTTTTATACCCGAACCAAGAGAATCCGATTGGGTGGGTGGCCACGGCGATTGGGTCGTACCCATTGGTTAACTGGCATTGCGTTATTTGGTGGGTCTGTGTTGTGTTCATACGACAGGGTAATGGCACGAGACCAGATTCCGTCCCCCCCAGGCCCAAGTCCTGGTACGGGAGATGCCTTTCATTGGCTGCTCCTCGGGGGGGGGGGAATCAGTCCCCGTTGGGCCAAATTTTGCAATAGTAGTGGTAGTGGCACACCACGGTGATTGGGTGACCTGCCCTGGGCTACCAGGCGATGCGTAGTATGGTGGGCATGTGCAGTGCTCATAAGATACAGGGCCGTAAACAACGCACGAGACCACATCCCGTCACATCGATGGCCCCACCCAGCCCAAGTCCTAACCCAGCACGTGGACAAAACGGTCAGGTTAATGGGTGCCACTAAAAAGAAGTTGTCCGATTGGTTGCCACTTCTCTGGCAAAATGGGTGCGTCGCTCAGTTCTTCGTTGGGGTAAGTTATTCTTCTCCTTCTCCTAGCCCCTCAACATGCACGCGCTTCTGGTCCTCTGTCTGCTCCTTGTTCCATCCGCCTACGGCAGCACCGCCACTACCTTCTTTTACAACAAAACCAATGCTACTCTGGTCCTCGACTACTACAGCAACGCGTTCGGCAGCTTCACCCAATCGCCGCCCTCTCAAGTTGGACCGTACAGCTCGGGGAACTGGTCGATGTCAGGCTCCCTCGTGCACAACCTCGGCTGGATGGAGTACGATGTGTACTGGAAGTCACCCACCTTCCAGGGCTGTGTCGATGTCAGCTATCTCTGGGACCTCGTCTTCGGTGTCTGCAATTCCGGCTTTGCGACGTGCGCCGATCAAGTCGGCGAGCTGGCTGGTAGATCTCGTGATTGTTACTACTACATCACGGACCAGTGTTCGCCACTGGGTAATCCTATTCACATCCTCACCACCGACTGTTAGTGTTGGTCAACAACACCTTTCGGCACAACGGTGCGACAAGCATCGTCATCTCTCCAGTTCTCTCCTACGGCCTCAATCTAACGGTGGCGGGCAATGCCTTCTACCGCAACGAGGGCGGCATCGAGGTCCAGTACCTGGAGGCCATGCCCGTCTGCGCGTTGGCGTTTCTCAACAACACGTTTGTCGACAATCGAGGCACTGCCGTGACGCTGACCATCGCCGACCTGCCGCACTCCTCGGTCCTCTTTCGGAATAACATCATCACCGGCTCAACCGCGCTCCTGCTCGGCGCCGTGCTCAGCCTGCAATTGGATGGCGACCTTGATTTTGCTAACAATCGAATTGCCTTCAACGATGGCAGCGTCGCCCTCACCATCGATGGCAAGAACGTGACTGCGCGGATCGCGGACAACGTGTTTCTTTCGAACCGAGCCTCGGGTCTCCAGGTGGACTCTTCCGTCTCTCCGTTCAACTTGCTACTCCGAGGCAACACTTTTGCCAACAACACCGCGGGCCGCAACACCTACTACAGCGGAGGGGCTCTGCTCTGGATCGCTGGCGCTGTCAAAGCAGTGTTCGAGGCCAACTTGTTTCTCGGTACCAACAAAGCGCGCCTCCCCTTTGTCCTTCCCTGCTAACCTGCTGCTGTTGCCACAGGTAACTCTGCGACTCAAGACGGTGGAGCGGTGAGCATCACGCAGTCCTGCTTGGGCAATGCCACCAACAGTTTCTTCTTCAACAATGATCTGTTCCAAGACAATCGCGTGAGCAGTGGAATGGGCGGAGCGGCTTCCATCACGTCCTGTCCCGACATCGCGGTCTTCATGTCCGGCTTCAACTCAGATTCGAGCATGGTCTACAACCGCACTTGGGACTACCGCACCCACGCCGGATTTCAAAATGTTTCCTTTCAGCGGAACGAGGCACGATGTGCGCAGTGCCAGGGCGGAGCATTACACCTCGTGTTTGGAACTGTCACGGCGAAGCACTGCCGCTTCTCCGAAAACCAGGTGCCACTTGCAATTGTGGTTGTGGTTGCACGCACGCAAACGCACGCACGCACGCACGCACGCACACCACTTCCCTCTGCTCATTGGCCTTGCGCTTATGTTCCAGGCTGGCAGCGGCGGGGCTATCACCGTGGAGGGAGAGTCGACCTCCCTCTCCATACACAAAAGCGTGTTTACCCGCAACCGCGCGTCGGCGCAGGGGGGCGACGTCGACTTTGAATCTGGCGGGACTTTCCTGCTGCACAACGTCTCGACCGAGGTGGAGGACCGGACCATTCCTTGTCGTCTTTCAGGCTGGCCTCAACTCGAGCATCTCGACCACCGACGTTGCCTGCTCTCCAGGTAGCGTCTATTTGGACCTGGAGTCGTCGCCGTTCGTCATCCAAGCGATGCCATGGGGTAAGGTATGGGCGCTCTCCCTCCTCAAGACCTGCCTGCGCTGTGCCAGCGGGCTATATGCCGTGGCCGGAGCGAATTTACGCGGTCTCGAGTTGCGCAACACTTCTTGCCTGCCGTGCCCCGGTGCAGCCGACTGCTCTCGTGGTGGAGCCGACGTCTACACGCGGCCGGGCTTCTGGTGTGCGCCCACCAGCAGGAGCCCCGCCAATGTGTTGGAGTGCCGGACGTGCCCCGATGGCTACTGCGAGACCAACGAGCCGAAGCCGTGGCACCTGGCCTGCGTGTCCAACCGACGTGGGACGCTCTGCGGTGAATGCCGCGCGGGCCACGGCGAAGCCTTTGGATCTGAGGACTGTGTCCCCAATACCAACTGTGTCCCAGCGTCGGGCTGGATGCTTCCGGCGCTGCTCGGCATAGGCATGTGCTACGTGATGCTCGTGCTGTGGCTGCCTGTCAACCACCACCCGCTGTGGAAGTCGATCACCTACTTTATGCAGACGGCGCCGCTGGTGTCTTCGCCCAACAACGTGCTGATGCGTGTGCCGTGGGATGGCGCGCTGCGGCTCTTTCGAGCGGGCTACGTCACATGCTACGCCGAGTGGCAGTACCCGCTGTTTGTACTGCTGGGCGGCTTCCTCGTGCCGTTCCCGCTCCTGCTCGTGCTCCTCCGCCGGTGGCTCAGCAGCCGGCAGCGCCGCCTGGGCAGCAGCGCCGCGGGCTGGGCTGTGCTCCACGTGCTCGAGGGTCCTTACGCTCGGGGCCGCACCTGGTGGGAGAGCGTGGGCATGCTGCGCCGGCTTGCGCTGCTGGCTGTCGCCACCTTCGTGCCCGACCCAATGTGGCGCGCTCTGGGCCTCGCCGCTGGCTGCTTCGTCGTGCTCCTGTCGCACGCCTACCTCCGGCCCTACGCCGACCGATACTATGGGTGGGCCGAGACGCTCTTCCTGTGCGATCTGACGCTGGTCGCCGGGCTCCAGATCCCGCAGGCAACCTTTGCGGGCCTGGGAGAGCCGTTCGATGGCGCCGCCGCCGAGGCCGTCTCCTACCTGCAGGAGGCGCTGGCCCTGCTGCCGCTGGTATTTTGCGCCTACGTGCTCGTGCGCCTGTACGGTCCGCCGCTCCTCGACTGGCTCTGGCGCAAGAGGTGCACCGTCTTCCGGGGCGGCGAGGACACACGCCAGGACGACACGGACGCAGGCGACCGAGAAGGGCGCAACAAGCCCCACCGCCTCCACAGTGCAGATGACGACGAGGAGGACAGGCTCCTGTCAGCCGAAGCAGAGGATGCAGAGGAGGAAGACGAGGGGTTGATGCATTACACCAACGAGGACAGCCCAAGCCTGGCGAAACAGACTGAACTACAAGTGGGGCGCTTCTCGCAGTTCCTTGATGCGCCATCCGAGCAGGCACAATGATAGACACCACTGCATCCAGGGCTCACCCACAGTTGTCCAGAAGCCACTTCATGAGCTGTAGGCATGTCAAGTGTGATGTGGGAAGAGGAGGTTGAGTTGCGGAGGTGGGAGGAAGGGAAGTGGATTGAAGAGATAAGCTGCAGGGTGGCAAGAGGAGCACTGACCTGAATGTAGCTCTGGAGGACATGCACAGGGCAAAGAAGGCGCACCTTCAGGCAACCACCACTCCACAATCACCCATCTCCTCCCCTCCATCAAATTTAGGCTACGGAAGGAACCCGATGGACTGCAGGCAGTCTGAGCAGGAGCAGCGGAACATGCAGCGCGCACTGCATTCTATGCGCTACCTCGCCCAAGCACCATGGCCACAGTCCACTCCCGGCAGGCCCAGCGGACTGCGAAGGAGGGACAGCCATGCCGCCACAAGTTTCGGGACAAGACCCGCTGCCGCCACAGGGAGTGCCGCCTCACGGCACAGGTAATCAATAGCGGCCGGGCGTCAGTTTATGCAAGTGCGGGCAGGTTTGGGATTGGTGCCAGTCAAGCACAAAGCAAAAGAAGAAACAATGAAGAGGAGGCCTCAGAGTGGGCCTGCAGCCCCTGGGATGTTGTTCATTCCTTGTCCACAGCAACTCAACAACCTTGGGCCAGGCTGTACACCTGGCTGATGACAAGTGGAGCTGCACTAGCTGTACCTGCTCATTGACATTGTTGGCAAGTGGTTTGAGGGGCAAAATGGTCCTTCATCACATTGCCTGACCTTGTTGGCCTCCAACTGGCCTTGTATTGTACCTGTTATATATTCAGTGTTCTAGGCAGTCCACAGCTAGCCCTTATCAACCTGCATAGTTGATCTCCACTCCAGAGGACACTGGCAGACATAAGGACTGTGGATGTTTGGTTAAGAGTCAAGCTGTGATGGACCTCCTGGTCAATGGAGTGTAAGGTCACTCTCACCACAGTCTTCTCACCTCTTACACTCCTCCATACATCAGCTGCTGAGCGCCAAAGAAAGAACCCACCCCTTCCTCTTAACTCACACCACACAATGTGAAGAACAAACGAGGACTGGACTCAGCATTCCAGCAGGCACTGCTATAAGATCAAGACGATGCCAATCTGGAGACTGGCTTGCATAGAAGGCCAGGCTTGCCATGCCTCTCTGTCGCGGTCACAGAGGACGGCCACGCAAGCGACCTTGCTTGTTCGATCCCTGGCAAGGGGCCAGAAGGTAATCGAACACCCGTGCGTCATGGACGATCGCTGGGCCTAAGTTCCAACGGTGAAGTCGGGAGGTGGTGTCGAGTTTCTTCAGAAACGAAGAGAATCTACGAGACCGAGCTCCCGCACATGGGGGTTCCGCACGGGGCACCTAGGTGCATTGGTCAACGCTCAGTCAGTCTGTGCCCCAAGCCAAGTGGGATTGGAGAACGAGCTAAGTACCCAGATATGCTAACTTGCGTTTGAGCCCGCTTTCTTTTTGCACCTTCTGCCAGTCCTTGCTGAGGTCGGTTCCGGTAAACCGCTGTTGAAGTGGAACAATACTGGTGGTTTTTCAATGTGCTGGGGAAGTTGCAACATTAGCTCAAGGCCAACGGAGCCTCCAGCAAAGGATGGGTGCCAGTCATACCTGAGGGCGAGGATCAATGCAGTAGAACTTGGAGGGGAAGAAGATGTGCCCGTGAAGTGTAGCGTCTCCACTCGGCACCCCAAGCTCAGTGAGGAGCACTGTATCGAACCGATTACAGAGCCGAGTGTGGACATTGACCTTCGATCCGGGCTCTTTCAAGGATGCCATCCGCCTGTCTCGGCGCTTTGATCGTAGTCGGGTCTCTTTCTCCTTCTGCCTCCACCTCCTGTCGCTTCCTCCTCCTCCATCTCGTTTTCGCCTTCCACTTTGTCCGTCATGAGATTCCTTGCGTCGTCTTGCCGTTTCCTTCGCCGTCTCCTGCGTGTTCGTCGTCGAGGTGGTTTGCTCTCTTTCAGAAGAAGCTGGAGGAGGCCGTCGACACCCGGCCCAACACTTTCAAGCAGTTTTACGACAATCTCTGTTTTATCCACTTTAACAGAAGCGGATTGGGCAAATACGCAGAAGATAGCCGCAACTAAGTGTGTATAAAAAAGCCAAAGAACCGATTCAATCGCACAATAAAACATCGCCAAGTGGTGCCTTCTACGGCAGCCACAGCGACATCGTGTGGCTCCAGCACGACTTTGGCCTCTAGGTCACCAATGTGTTTTTCACACCGGTGTATATCCCGCACACATTCGTGTGGAATCGTCGGTTCTGTGTTGCGCTGCGTTGCACTATAGTTTGCAGTTGATGCATTCCCGGCCAGAACATACATCTTGGGGGGCTTTGTGCCAAGCACAAACACTCAAAAACACACAAAAACACACAAAACAATATTCTTTATGTTGTATGCCACTACAGCTCATCATCGGCGTCACCCCCCATTCCATCAAAGTTCACTGCAACCTGCGTATTGCTGCGTTGCTTGCGAACATAGGCCACCAACAAGAGGACTGCGGTGATGAGCACCACCAGCACCACAGCTACAGGAACTGCCACAGCGACAGCAATCACCCATTGCGCCCCACCGGTGTCACCTCCGCCGTGGCCAGCCCGCCCGAAGAGCAACGAGATGTCTGCAAGCACAGGGTCAGCACCAGCAACCACGACAAGGTAGTGTCGTCGTTGGAAATCGCCATAGGTACCGGGGTCATAGTCTAGGTCGGTATCGAAGTGGTCAAAGGTGATCGTGAGTGATGAGTCGGTAGAGTCTACCATGCTAGAGCAAGCCACACGCTCGCTGCTGTTTGTCAGACCAAAGTCGAGCAGCCGCGAGATCATGCTCGCATCGCTCTCACGCGCGCTGTGCAACAGCAGTGTGGTGATGCTGGCTTGAGGTGTGTTGTTCCTCACCTCGCCGGTGGCAAATGGCGGATCGATGGCCATTTGGAATTGCAGCTTGTTGTCACTGATAAGAGTGGGAATCGGGGAATCGTCAGGTTATTGCGAATGGCCGTTGCAGTAGGGATCACACAACACCACTGTGTGAAGAGGCTGTACCTAGAGGACCAGTTCCAACGGTCCAAGCGCAGCGAAAACTTGATGAAGGCGGGCGTGATGCTGAATGTGTAATTGTTTGCTGGAACACCAACAAAGAGGGAGGGAGATAGTGTCGGGTCACGCTCGTCTGTTGTGATGTCAAGGAGAAACAGGAGGGGAAGAGGAGAATGCATACCGAGTGTAAGGATGAGGAGATCATCAAAAGTTGAGAACTGGTAGGTCAGCGTGGCGTTGTTGGCGAGCTTGCTGGTATAAGTGCTTGTGTAACTCGAGTTGCTCGACATGCTCCCATTCATCAACCAACCTGCATCACGTGGTTGGGGGGCACGCGACAGATAGTAGAGATCAACAACAAAAAGTAGGCCGGTGGAGTAAGCAGAGGTTTGTTTGTTGGTACCTTCTTGCAGCTGCGCTTGCCACACGATGACTCCGAGGGGCGTGATCTCCCTCAAGCTGAGAAAGTCTAGCTGTACCTTCTGCCCCGCACCACCTGTCCAGGTCGTCTCAACGTTCAGTCGAGGTTTCCTCGAGGATATTTGCAGGTTGGATTAAAGGCGAACCTTCAGCTGCTGAGGAGTTCCGAGGGCTGATCTCCACACTGGGCCTTGTGCTGTTGATCTTGACACTGATGATCTCCACAGAGGGGCTTGGCAAAGGAATAGGGCAGAGTCCTAGTTTTTTTGTTGATGAGATTATGACCCCCCAAAAAAAGAGCAGTAAGGATGAGGGAGAGCAACAATACCAGATGACCCAAACCCTGAAGCGTTGAAACTGGGTTCAGGTCCAATTTCTTTCCAGACGCTGGGGCCAGCTTCACCTACGTTGATGCCTGTGTGGCATAGATCAGCACCAGAATGTAACAGACACCACACAACAAAAGGGGCCACACACCACAGCTGAGTTGGCCTTGAATGTCAATCGAGACATCACTGGATTGCAGCCATGTCTGTCTGCTTTGAGTAAACAGGACACCTGGCAGAGAGCATAAATCAATCAGCTGAGTTTACGTGGTGCGTGAAGCATGGCCAGTGGTGGTGGTGGTTGCACCATTTGAGGTGTTGCCTGTCACGTGCATTTCTACACCACTGTTTTGCTCCCATGTACCCGTGAGGCTAGAAAAGAAGACACCTTTGTTGTGGGAGGCTGTGTTAGCATTGCCTTACTGCAGGTGGATGTTCCAAGGAGACGCTGGCTTGCTGTGTCCAATAAGAGTTGTTCAATGAGACACCTTTGCAAAAAAGAGGTGG